GGCTCGAGCCTTAAGGAGTAGTAGCCTATAGCCTACGCCCTTATTAAGGTCGGTAAGAGCCTACGCGGCGAGCGTAAGAAGTTAGATAGTATACTAAAGTAACGCTAGGGCATAGAGCTAGAAGACTTTCCGTACTATAGCTAGGTAGTAGACAATTAAAACCGAATTAAGGATGTTAAGTCCTTTATTAATAGGGCAATAAACTATAATATCGAGGCGGGTACGGCTCGACTTACTAAGTGTATAATTTAGCGCGCGCGTAATATTTAAGGCACTCTTTCTAGTCCTACTAGCGAACGTCTCGGTCCTACTAATAGCGATTATACTATATTATCGAGAGTCTATAAGGCTCTAAACGACGTCGACTAGGTCTAACTCGATAGTAAGGCTACTAAGTCGTAGCTAAGCCTCTATAAGAAGGTTATTAAGAATCGGTTTATTATAGACATTTTATAGGCCGAAATCGATAGCTAAAATAGTAACTAAATTAAGTCGGAAAACACCCTAGATTAATCGGCCCCTAGGGGCTAGTTCCTAATCGGGACTAGCGCCGGCTAATCCCGAGTCGAGCAGTTTTACGACCTCTCCTCTATTTAGTTTCTAGAGGTAATTATAAACGAAGGCGGCTCTAAGCTTAATAATAGCAATAGCTTAGGACTCGGTATACTAGACGGCTATAGCACACCTCCTACCGCCCCTAACTAGCCTCTATCTCCTAGCGAAACCGGAGCCCTTTAAGTACTCCTTCTAGAAGATAAATCTTCTATATCGATAGGTAACCTAAGCCTTTTAGATCCGCCTACCTCCGACGCGGTACCTATTCCGCGTACCGAAGGCGATAGCACTTTTATTAATCTAAGCAACTACTTAAGTACCTACTCTATACTAAACGCCTTCTATCTAAGATACCGCGATCTAGCTACCGCGCATATTATCTATAACTTAGATAAGACTAAGTACATAGCCGGTAGCTAACTAGTAATTAATAAAATTATTAAGCCCTACGGATTATTAGTAGAAGCATAGAGCGAGAGCTACCTAGTTATAACTAAAGATAAGGATAGCGCGCTAAGCCTTCCTATTAGCCTAAATTATTTTAAGAAGCTTCTCGGTTCTATCGGCCTAAAGACAAATAAGCCGACTCCCTTTGGCGTTAAGAACTTAAGAATAGTCTACGAACAATTCGATACTAAGCTATAGCTTTATAAGTAGATAATAACTTCCCTAGATATATTCTTAGTAAAGGTCCTTCCCGATAATTACTTAAAGGCCCGCGCGTACCTCGGATCGTATCGATTCTTTCTAATAACGGACTTTTAGTCTAGGCTATACTTTACTTAGGAAGAGGCTACGTATCTAGAGGATATTAGCGGTTTAAAGGACAAGATTGCGGAGCTTCGTAAGACGGGCTTAATTATCGTTCCGGATATATTCGTATAGTGCGATAAGCTAAGTAATAAGGACCGAGAAGGCAACGTAACGACTATCTACGACCTTATAATAGAGGAGATAGAGGTCTATCGGTAGTACTAGCGCTAGATTAGTAGAAAGCCGAATCTTAGCTAGCTTTAAAATAAGTTCTACTCTTTAATATAACAGTTAATCCGCTAAGACATCTATTACTAGATAGCTTATAGCCTCGCCCGCGAAGATCGGAGGATRTATATAGTATCCTATCCCTATTATACTAAGTACTAATATAGAGCAACTAGCGGTATCGAGTTAAACCTTTTAGCTATAGGATTTAGATATATCGATCTAAATCCTAACGATATTACCGCTAACTAGAACCGAAGCTAGATCTAAGGTTTAGTTTCTTTTAATAACGAGATAGATAAGGACTACACTATTATTATAAAGGGAATATAAAAGCAGGAGAAGATCGACCTTTAGGTCGCTCGGTTAAGAGATCGTAGTAGCATTAATAAGTCTTAAAAGATTATAGTAATCGATAAGAATAAGCTTTCTAAGGAAGACCTTCGATAGCTTAGTCTAAAATAGGAATTATAGCTATATAACAAGTTAGGAGCTCGACTTACCTACCTATATATCCCTTACGGCGTATATCCCGGTCTTAGGGTTCGCCGTACTATACTTCCCTAGTTTAACGGTGTTTAGGAAGACGGCTATATTAACTATAACGAAGCCGGTATATAGGATAAGTTCTCTATCGTACATCGCGATCTAATGCCTAGACTAAGCTTACCGTCTAGTTATATAAACTACTACGGTAGTATTAACTACCCGTTCCCGGCCGCCGTTAAGCTTTCCGGTAATAGGCTAATCTTAGATACCTTAGTAGCCTAGCAAAAATAGACTAGTATAGACGTCTAGCTAGAAATCTATAGGATTAAGCAGTTGCGTATGAAGCGTAACTATAATATATACATAGCCGGTTACCGTAAGCGGGTAACCGAGAATTTCTACGACGCCTTCTAGAGGATAAAGGAACTTAAGAAGCTATATTTCCTACTAAATAGCTACTACGCTAATAGTAGAGACTATAATAAGTTAGCTACTCCTAACTAGGTATAGTAGGACCCTCCTTCTCTTACGGAGAAGAACTAGTTAACCGCGGAGGAGACTAAATAGCTCGGTTACTATAGTCCTCCGGTTTAATCGGTAGTTATTATTAGAACTATCTATAGATGCATAGCCTTAGGGATATATAGCATATAGTAGGTTTCTAATAGTTTACTTTACGGTTTTTGCATAGGCTAGTACTAGTTGTTTTTATTTCTATTTTACTTCTTTTGCTTCTGTTCTTTTAGTTCCTATTAAGTGTTATTAATAAGACACTTAAGTAGGGGAGGATTAATAGCTCGGACGCTTAACATCTCCGCGGAGTAGCTTAGCATAGACATAGGGCCTATAAAAAGCAGCTTCTGTTCGAACTTTATATAGACTATCGAATCTTCTTTACTTATTTTTACGCTACTACTAAGTGTCTACGTTAATCGATCGCCTTTTAGCCTATAAGCAAGGACTGTATTAAGAGCCTATAGTCCTATCTATTTACTCGGCGAGGTACAGCAAATTATTTCCCCTCGTCTAAGTAATACACGATGTACGACTTCCTTAGTTATTGTTGTATATTATAGTTTGCGCCCTTTATTATTTTTACGCTACTACTAAAGTGTCTATATTAATCGATCGCCTTCTTAGCTAAGACTATATTAAGAGCCTATAGTCCTATCTATTTACTCGGCGAGGTATAGTAAATTATTTCCCTCGTCTAAGTAATACACGATATATAACTTTATAAGTTATTGTTATATGTTATAGTTTGCGCCTTTTAGTAATACGTTCCTTTAATCCTTCCGCGACGTACTTACTAATCGATACGAAGGTACGAACTAACCGCTAGACGTAGTTATTTAAATTACTACTATAATTAACGACGACCTTATAAAGTAGAAGCAAGCTAAAGTAGCAGCCTTAGAGGCTTATAAAGCTTAGCTATTTACTATTAATAAGGGCGTTACGGATCTTAACGATAAGCTGTCTATAAAAGAGGGGATATACCGCTAAGCGGACATCCTTAATAATATAGTAATTAACTAACTAAAAGAGCTTAGATTCGCTATAGTACTAGCTTTAATTAACTAGCGTCTAGAGGCGGACGGTAGTAACGAGGCTAATAAGGCTAATAAAAGCGATAGCGATAGCGATAGCGATAGCGATAGTAAGGTAGATAAAGTAGAGCCGTTTAATACTCGTTAACTTAATCTACTACTACGTAATAATATAGATGTACTACTATAAGAGCAGTAATAAGAGCCTATACTAACTCCTTTATAGAACGAACGACTACCTTAGCTTTTAATAGCACTACTAATAACTAGCCTATAGCTCGAAATAGACGATATAAAGCCGTTCTTAGAGGACTTTAGAAGGGGCTTTAGCTCCTACTAGAGTAATACTACCCTCTTATTTAACGAACTTAATACTAGTACGGATAGTAGCTTAGTATAGATAAGAACAATTAAGGGTAGTAGATAAGGAATAGGCTCTAATAGCTATAATCGACTTAACTTAAAGAGTTCTAAGAGCTCTCTAAAGGCCTAAAAGCTAGGCTTTTTAATACTAACTTTTATTAACTTTTATTAAAATACTATTAATACTATTAAGTTATTAATATATATAACATTAGAGGTTAGTAAACCGAATATTCGCTTAATTATTACCGTCTTAGAATGATTTTATAACGTGTAGTTATTATAATATAGCTATAGAGGGTACGGCTATATTACGAGGGGGGGGCGCTAAGAGGCGCTACCGAATAGCTAGCTTACCGAGAACCTCCTTATATATATTAAATAGGGGAAGGGGGCCCGTCTTACCCCTAATGTTAGTCCTAGTCGAACTAGAAATATATAAATTACGATAGGAATTATTCGCTATTTAAACTAAAATAGTAGATATAGTACGAAGGGAAGAAGTAATATCTCTATAGAAATATTAAATAGTGCTACTTTTAGCATCGAAACAGAGTAATAGAACGAGACCTAAAAAGCAAGAATATAGCGCTTTATATTAGGGACCTAGAGCCCGCTCGGTCTCGCTATTTTCGTAATCGACGTACGATAAGATAGTCTTTAGAGAACATCTAGCAAAGCTAATGTAGTCTTATAGACATACTCTTTAAAGAAACCCGACTTTGAAAAGGAGGTTCGTAAGACTTGAAGACTAGAGGAGGAGCGGCTCCGCTATTATATAGAGCTTATAGACATTATTAAGAGGAGGTACCAAAGCTGTAGATGTGAGTAGTACTAAAATCAGTGAGGTTGGATTGAGTGCTAGGATGGTCTCTTATGTATATAAACACGATAGAGGTCTTAGAGGATCTAGATACATAGAACTAGTATGTATAAGAGGGCATTGAGAATAGTGCGGGGGGTTTTTCAACGATGTATTTGTCTGATCAGCGCAGTGACTCCGGTTGTTATGTCTAAGACCGGAAGGGCTACGCAATATTCGTGGTCAACACCATGGATGCTTCAGCGGAATGCTACGAAGCGGATCTCACAGCTTTGTCGCGGCGTACCATTGGACTCTGGATTGTTGAAAGCACAATGAAAGGCCTCTGTCGCAAGTGTTAGTGATAACATGAGTTGGGAGACCGAGTTCGGCTTGTTAACGCACTTGCTCTCTTCCCCGTAGAATCTTCGTTTCGAAAGACCATGATATCGTCAGGCTGCTGTCCCTTGATATAATACCATCGGTGCCGCTTATTGTGGTGCAAAATTTGGTTCTCGCCTATTCTCTCGACATAGATCAAATCGCCATTGACGATGTCTCTCTCGAGGTCGATTGAGGTGTAATCGCAAAGTGCCAATGGCCAGTCGTCGTTCGGGCCTACCAGAGGTCGCCATATACTTCAATCGATTGCTTAGCGCGGGCATCGCAGGGGGTAATTTGAGGCATACATACTTGATCAGATCATACTCTCTAGAACTAAAGTATTGTTCTTGTCCAGGAAATGTGGCTTCAAGTTGCATGGCAGTACCTCCTAGTGAGTAGTCACTATGCGCAAGCATAGCTGGTTGTTGGTGCTCTATCTTTGCGAATCTGTCCGATGGAAATTGCTCGTGTCGTTTTCTGATCTGCTTGATCGTTAGCGGACTCGTGTGTTTGGTGATCTTCAGTTCCGAACTTGCCACAAAATCGATGTGTTCGAGCCTACGATACTCTGGAAACTTGCGGTAAAGTAGAGTCGAAATCTCTTCAATGTGAGCCATCTTGACTGCGTCTGGATCCTCGAGGGCAGCCTTTACAGGCAGCGTTGTCTTTGCATTGATTACGCAGAATCCATTGGTGTCAAGGTTGAACTGCGTACTGTCATGCATGGCGTGCACTCTGACAGTCTCAGTCTCTAGTTTGTAGTTCGTCTGTAGTCGACCGTCCGCCTCGTCTTCATCTATTTCGAACTCAACAGAATACGGCTTCTCAGTGAGGTACACCTCATCGCGAGCCAGGTACACCAACGGTGCTTGGAGTTCGGTCATAATAGCGGTGCCTCTAGGCGTAGAAGTCTTGCGCATGCTCACCAGGGAGCCAACGATGCGAATGAACGAGGTGAAGTCAGGATGTGGACTGTGAATAGTACACTAACGGCCACCCATCGCTTGGGTACAGCACAGGAGTACACGGCACGCCCACTTTGCCCTACGTGGCGACTCTGTTCTAGACCCATCGCATGCAGCCGACCCGCCAAGCATGTGGTGGGTCAACTAGCGTAGATCTGCGCGAACAGCTGAGCGATACCCACCATCAGCTGCAGGAAACCGAGGGTAATCGATAGACCACCCACGACCAACACTGCCCAGAACGTGTACCACTGCAAAGGGTTCCTGCGATCTCGCCACAAATCTCGCAGCTTGCTGGGTTGTTGCCTGAGGCTAAACTCCTGAAGCTTTGCAAGTCGTTGACCAAACAATGGAAAGTCATCCTGGGAGCTGTATGCGCTCTCCTCTTGCAAGGTACCGTCAAAGCTTCGGCAAGTGACCGGCCACATACTACCAGGGAGGCTCTGCAGCTTTCTATCATTCCGTTGAGTACAAACCATTTCGAGTAATGTGTCGTAGTCCTCTCCACWCTGCTTCAGAGCTTTGAGCTCTTTAGCAGCTTGTTGTCTCGACCGTCGCGTCTGGCCGAACAATAATCGATAAGACATCAGTATCTCCTGATGAACCTGTGTAATGTTTCCTTTCGTCTCGATGCTATAGAGAGCGTGAACGATACTACRAACAATGTCGGTGTTAGCTGAGAAGCGGTCCAGCTAGTATCGATACATACCCAGAAAGTACGGGGGGTACATCTCCATCTCTCTGKGTATTCAAAGCACAGAAACTTGGAAATCTGAACAAAGACAGTTGGCGGTTTGAGGCATCAAAATCGAGATGACTTGTAAGATTGTCAACCCAGATCAATCGAATCTTGCCAATAGTCTGTAGACACTCAAAGTTCAAGCTTGGCACATGTAGAACGATAGACTCTGAATCCCTTTCTTCCTTGATGGGATGCCGCCAACGTGTCCCAGGCATGATCCTCTGGAAATTACGGAAGATGACCGGCGTCGGTCTCCTAACAAAGTCTTTCCTAAGGGCATATTCGGTGGACTGCAGTTGCCGCGRAGTACATGCGACGGGGGGAGATTTGCTATCTGGCAATCTCAGATCAGGCTGCAGAAGCATGCTTGACCAGCACAGCACTGAGTAAATCGCGGTATGACATGGGCTCATGTCCTTGATCTCAGGCTTAGGGTCTCTTGTAGCACGGGTCTCTATGCACTTCCAGATATCTGCGATACTGCTATCTTCGTCTTTCGTTTCATGCAAGGCGGATGCGACAGCACTGAACCATACCCAGCATTGCTCGGCTGACTTTGGAGTTGGTAGGCCGGCAGACTCCCATATACATGCATATCCAGGTGTCAGTAAGGGCTTGAAGCGTTTCTCCAAGTACAAGCAGTAGGCCCGGGCTCCCGGCCAGTTTTCCAGTCGAGCTTTCGACATTCCAAATAGACCCTGAAGCGCCTTCAGTTGATGCGACGTGTATCGGGCATCCTTGTAAGCTTTGTTCGCGGACTGCATCTCGAGGTCGGTTGAGCCTGTGTTTCTCCCTCCAGTCGACCTCCCTGTTCGGAATCTGACCCGCATGAGCTCGGGTGCTAGCTTACGTATATGATCCCGTGAGCTGCGGAGGCAGCAAGACGACGTCGTTGGTTGCCGGTTCTCAAGATGGTGACAGCGACAGAACGACCGATAGAGCGGACGACGTAGTCCACCTGCCTTTATGGTGCAAGCATAGCCTCGCTCTCAGGCAGCAGATCGATGAACTTGCAACTTTGCGAGCTGAGGGCTGTGCAAACCCGCTGCGGAGCCTCAGCCTGATGGCTTACCTAACGCGCGTTCGTCGAGCAGGCCGCTATGTATGGTCAGCAAACAGAATAATGGACGTCTGAACTGTGGCTTGCAGTATCGCGGCGCTACCTGGCCGTGTAACGCTAGTGGCCCCACATATGTGAATTCGAGGCATGGCTTGCAGCTGGCGTGCAGTCCCTACGCGCCCTTGGCCCGAATGTTCGCGCAAGTCTGTCAATCCAATCTACTAGTGAGTTGCACAGATCCATAGCGGTAGCGGGAGCCGCATTGCAGTCTCGACAAATGTTCTCGGCTGTTGTTATTGCTACGTTTCTGAGCTTATCGGACAAAGTGAAGTGTAAGGTACTCGAGTGAAATGGGACTAGGCTGTCTTGGGTATAGCGCCCGCGCCGGCGGCATATCGCGTTTGGACCGAGGGGACGATCGCGGTGCAGATGCACTCGTGGTTGACTTTATCCACATGTTGATCAGCCCTCCAACATGCATGATCGCCTCAATTGTATCGTGCATGGGGTCAGGCAAGAGTGACAGGAGGGGTTGGAACAGCCCATCTTAGTCATGTGGCAACCCCTTCCCATGCAGTCGAGGCTGTCCCCCAACCCCCTTTCTCCTTGCCTCTACTTTCCCATCATCGCAACAAAACGCTTTCACACCACGCGCATCATCATTTTCAAAGTCAGTAAGCAACTGCGCTATTTCCTGGAATACACTGACCAGTGTGCAGCCAAGTTCGACAACACTACCAAGACGATGCCGTCAACATCGAAGCCCAACCAGCCATGGCAGACGTGGTACAAGCCTGTCAAATCGGCGAATGATCCCCTCGCACGTCCAGTATCTCTAGCTGGTCGTGGCAAGCAAGGCAGTCTCCCACAGAAAGCCCACAATGTCGATTTGTCTGGCCTCGTTGCACCTGATGCTACCACCACCGTCTCAAAGGAGTGATCGGGCAGGCTGTCAGGCTCTGCATGCTAGGCCAACTATTTAGAAAGTGTTATTGTTGTGAAGGGAACAAATTGGCAGAGACAATGAGCAACGAGATTTACGACTGTTCTGAGAAGTTCATAAGTCATTTAAATTGCGCCATCACCTCCACTCAATGAACACGAGGTCATCATATGTACTCGCATGATCCGCCTTGTCTACCTGTGGGTAGTGCAGCCGCAGAATTCTCTCTGCTTCCTCGCGCAAGTCCGGCGCCTCAGCTTGCGATCTAGGATCCTGCTCCAATGCTTCCGAGAGCATGAACAGCGTTCRAGCGTGCTCAGCGACGAGAATGTCCTGACGCATTTGGGTCACGGCTCTAGCATCTCGCAGGTGTTTTCTGAAATAGGTCAGCGAAGTGCGCGCGAAGGATTCAATTAACAGGCAACCCACATGGCTGCCTCGAGCTTGCCCTGACCCAGAGCACTGCACCCCATCTTGTACATGCAAGCTGCGTTAAAGGGTGCGGTACGAAACTGATCACCTTTGGACCATGCATTCTGTGCCTCCATGAAGTGGGTCTCAGCAGCATCGTATGCTCGCTCTCGATGTTTGAGATTGCCAAGGGCAAAATAGATGCTTTGCTATATCAGCGCGGATGAGAATACTCTTGCTCGGGACAACTACTTACAGTGCCGCATCGGCCCACTGATAGGGTTGCGTTGCTTCGACTTGTCGCAGTGCATCCATCAGAAAGATTCGGGCTTGAGGCAAGTCACCAGCCCACAAGCATGCGGTCCCCTGCGCTCCTCTGTCGAACTCATCGTCAGCAGCGCCGTGCAGCTTATGCCAGTCCAGCCAGTGCCTGTAAGATTTTTCGTGCCATTCGATAGCTGCGGGAAAGTCGTTGATGGTTGCTAGTCCAAGAGCAGCATTCTCGGCCGCCCAGGAAGACTCGATATGGTTGAAAGGGACATCTTGCGCTCGAATGTCATACGACTTCTTGAGCCATTCGACGCCCTCCTTGGCCCTCCCGAGATGGCAGTGTAGCTGACCAGTATGAGAGGTCAGTGACCCCTGTAAGCCGACTGTCTGATCCACTTCTGGCAGAGACTTCAAGGCCGCGGTGTTCACCTCGATGAGCTCACCAAGATCCTTGTATGAACATATTTCGAGCAAGTAACTGCAGCTTGTTAGTGTACTGTTGACGTACCGGTGGGAAGACTCACCGCTGGCATGCGTTATTGAGGTCACAATATGTCTGTGGTGCGGTGAAGCTAGAGTTTGTTTTCCTCTCTTCCTTGAAACAGTCCCGAAGAGACAGTACATGCTGCAGATAGAAGCTGCATCGCTCCCACATCAGATACAGGTTACTTGATCCCATACTGCCACGTCGAGGATATACTCGTGAAACCAAGATGGCCGCGTCGTTGAAGCACTCTTGTCTCTGTTCTGGTGTCATAGAGTACTTGAATGATGTCTGGACAAGACGGTGCAGAGAGAACGTTCGCGACGTCTTATCTCTCTTAATCAAGGCAAGAGTGAGAAGATTGTCGAAGACATCGGAAAATCTAACCCAGGTCAGTATTGATAAACAATAGAGCTTTCTTTCGAAGATACCTGAGGTAGTCCGCGCAAAAGGCAAGAGAATCCGGAAGTGAAATTTTGGCATCCGACTCTTCGAACAGCGACTGGGGGATGCTATCTGGTGCGAAGTAGCAAAGTACGCCCAGAATTGCTTTGCTATTGGCATCGAGAGACTTGAACGACAAGTCCCACACCGCGTTAATGGGGCTGTTTCCAGAGATGCCGTGGATATCGCCGGGTYGCTGATTGTATATCTTCAGAAACTCGGCGATAGACCACGCTTTCCGGTGTATCAGGCCTGCCATGGTCGATATTGCTAGTGCATGTCCACTCAGCTTGGTCGAGAGCTCTTGTGCGGATGTAGCTTCTTCAGCTTCGAGATCCTTGGCGATGTTGGTCGAAAGCAAATGAAGGAGGAATTTGGAGCCAGTGGCGTCGTCCCATGTAGCCAGCTCTAAGCCACCATCGRCGGGCTCAAAAGCAAAAGTATGGTTCCGAGTGGTTATTAATGCCTGACCACGGCTCGTAGCAGGCCAGAAGCTAGTTATTAGGTCGACATCTTCGGCGTTGTCGTAAATGATGAGCCACCGACATTCTTTGTCTGCGTCAGCTTGTACACGACGAGAGAGAGAGATGGCGAGTACCCACGAGTGGTTTGCAGCCAGCTGAGAACCAGAGCCCGATTTTCTTCGTGATCGCCACGGCGTGCATCGGGAAGCTTCAGGCGCATGGCAATGTCTGTGAAGCTTTGTTGAATAGATACCGCCGTTTCAGCGTGCACCCAGAACAGTGCATCAAGCTCATTTCTGCGGAGCTTTGCTTCGCAGAACTTGAGGGCGACCGATGTTTTACCAAGGCCTCCAAGACCATGTACGGCGAGAGACCGGAATGTCTGTCGTAGATCCGCCTGAGCGTACCAGGCTTCGATTTTTATGAGGACGTCGTCGCGGTTAAAGAAACGTGAAGTTCTTATGGTCGGCAAGATGATGCACGGGAGTTTAGCTTCATCATCGGGCGGAGGTTGCGGTAGGGTCAACGACGTCGATGACGACTGGCTCACTGACTGAAGTGATTGATTTCGGAGCTTGGCTTGTTTGTCCGCGCGAACAATGTATCCATCGAGAGCACGCAAGGTGGCATAATAGTCAACCGCAAGAGGTTGCCATTCCTTTTCGAGTTTGTCGCCTGTTATGGGTCAGAGGTCTCCATTACTGATTCCAATGGGTCATTTACCAGGAGTGGTGTACTCGACATCACTTCGCAAGAATGCAACAGTGCGTGTGATGAAGGTAAGAAGAGACAGTGCAGTTTCCACGCAGAGTTCTTTGGTCTCAGAGGTCAATTGCTGCGATTCAGTGCAGTTTTCGTTGAACTCCGATACCTTGTGGCACAGCTCACGAAGCATGGCACTGATACGGATCGCGGCTGCATTATTATCTTGCGCGAGCTTCCACACCAGACACCTTAGTATAGCATGCGATGCACGTACAAGAATCGTGAGAGGAACATACTTTGATTGTCAGGCCCACCAGGCCCCAGAATATGGAAGTATCAAGTAACCATTGCTTCATCCAGACATGGGTGAAATCTTTCAGCTTCGACAGTCCAGGCGTGAGCATTGCAAATTCTTGCTGAGATGGGCGGCTTCCTTGACCACCAGATCATCCTCCATCTCGATCGGCGTGCCTTCCGGCCAAAAACCCAAAGGCACGGAAATGACGGGGAATCCCATTTTGGCTGCCAGATCGTTGGCATAGCCGAATTCGGAAGGCACCACAAGCACGTCCAGGTGGAACTTTGTCATCGCACCRAGGATGCCACCCTCGCCACCATAGAACAGCTCGTCTTTTACCATCCCTGCGTACTTGTCGCTCCCGACGTCAACATCCTTTTCCTGTGTCCAGAGGAATTTACCAATGTCACAGCGCGGGAAGTCTTCGGCCGGGTGAGTTTTGGTAAACTGAATAAGGTCTTCCACGGAGTGCAAGTCATTGGGATTATCAGCCAATGTGTCTAAATAATGGGCCATGTCTCGACGAAACTCGGACGAGCGCACGACCCCTTTAACTTGCTGGTCCAGCTTCTGAAACTCTTCGCCTGCTGGGAAGTTTGCATTATCCACGACCTTCGCTCCGGCAGATTCGAACATGGCCAGGGCAGCCTCAAACGAGGACATGATTTCAGGTTTTTGTTCGTCAGGTGGAATAGCATTACGAGGTACCCCAATGGTAATACCCGTCAGATCAGTCCCTGTACAGAAGGTTGTGTAATCAGGTATCTTATCGAATGGGATCTGCCAGGTGCGCTCGTCCAAGTCACTCCGGCCTGCCATGTGGCTCAGTAGATATGCGGCGTCCTTCACTGTTTGACTGAGGGTACCGATGACATCCTGGCGTCTGGAAATGGGAATGGTGCCGTCGTTGGCAACCAAAGCTCGCGTGGGCTTGAAACCAACGACGTTGTTCTTTTCGGCAGGACCCACGATGCYGCCAGTAGTCTATTCCCACCATCAGCATGCTCTCGAACCCGCCAGAAGTAATATCGCGTACCTCTGTACCGAGCGCAGCGGTACACAGTMCCAAAGCAGTCGCTACTGCAGAGCCGGCGCTACTTCCATCAGGAGTGGCATTGGCATGGTAGGCGCCCAATGTCTGGCCACCGCGAGGGCTCCAGCCACCTGTGATGTCGAGTCCTCTGAAGTTCGCCCACTCGGACAGATTGGTTTTCCCCAGTATCAGAACACCACTTGCTCTCAATCTAGCAACCAGCGAGGACTCGTGCGCAGGTTTTGCGCCGAGGAGAGCAAACGACCCGGCCGAAGCGTCAAGCCGATCTTTAGTGGCTATGTTGTCCTTGACAAGAATGGGCACTCCGTGGAGTGGCCTGGTAATGTCAGCTACACATTGTGACTCGGAGTTGTTGGACGACCCGACCCTCGCGCCCCAGTCCGTAATCGCTCGAGGTCAAGTGTTTGGGCTTCCTGCAGCACGTCTGGATTGACCTGTAGAACTGCTTTGAAGTGCGAGGCTTCTTCTATTCTCGCAAGATATGCCTTGACAAGTTCCACCGAAGTGAATTCGCCTGAGTGAAGGCTTCTTGAAGCGCTTGTGATGCTAAGATTCAACAAGGCTGGTAGATTGGAGAATGCTGGTAAAGTCAGAAAAGTTCTCTGGTGGACTCTTCGGACACGAACCTGCTTCGCCCTTCATCTTCGGTGATCCAAACGTGGTCGACGATGGCAGGAGGTATCCGAGCACGCAAAGTACAAGTATTGCGCCGGAGATTATGCTGGTGATCATGTCGTTGGGAGGTTGGTCTACCTAGGCTCATTATTCAGGCGGGGTCGAGCCTTGTCGCTTCGAACATCCTTGCGGTTTGCTGTGGCTTTCACAACCCGCAAGCCGCGTCTGGTGTGCCACCTACTCTATATGTACATGTGCGCTTACCTATCACACGAGCTGAATTTAGTATGCTGGGAATCTCCCGACGACCAATCGGTGGCTGGGATGTGTTGGGCGCACATGAACTCATCTAGCCCATCCTGTACCTACCTATTCTATTCTATTCTCCACATCATCTAGGACACTCGACGATTGGCCAATCCACTCCTCACCGGTCGTGACTCGCCACAGTCCCGTGCTTGCGGATTGGCGTGCAGACTGGCTTGCACCACTGGCTTGCCATTGGCTACTCTTCTGGCCCCAGTTGTGGCACCAGATCTCGTCCATCAAAGTGGAGTCAAAGGCGTGAGACCGTTCGTATCTTAGATATGCCTTCTCAAGACACCACGATGGCTCGTACAACACTTGGATCTTGTGCTCGTTGGGAGTTTCAGATCTTGCCGCGCCAGCCATTCCCTCTGCAGAACAATGGCAAACTCGTCAAGAGCAGAACGCGAGACAATCCGAGCTCAAGTGGGCTCTCGAGACAACTTCTGGGCTTGGTCGAAAGAGAACGGCTGGGATCTCACTCGCACTCGTAGTCTCGATACGAAACCCTGCGAGAAACGTCTCGAACTGCAATGTGAATTGTCTTTTGTAACCATGGACCCGCGGAAAACTGCCTTGCTGGTGATTGACATGCAGAACTTCTCCCTTTGCACAGCGCTCACTGGCAACCCGCATGTCCATGGCCTTGGAGCAGAGCATGCGATTCTGGAATATGCTGTTCCGAAGGCTCGAGAGACCGGCATTCAGGTGGTATGGTTGAATTGGGGTCTCACGAATGAGGATCTCGAAACGATGCCGCCAGGACCACTCCGGGCCTTTGGCTGGGAAGCAAACGACGAGAGTGTAGAGAGCAACATCGCAGAGGGAAGGCTCAGTCCACCGGTCTTCGGCGATTTCAGTTCGTGCGGTGAGCGTCAGATCTTGGGTCTAGGTGCCGATATCGGAGCCATTGTTGTGGACGACGGCTCGACCGTAGAAGCTGGAAGAGCGCTCATGAAAGGCAGCTGGAACGCATCCCTGTATGGTCCATTTCTCTCGGCCTTCGACGATGGACAATCAGGCTCTTTGCCAGACGTGGTTGTCCACAAGAATCGAAATTCCGGACTTTGGGACGAGAACTCTGGATGCACCAAGTACCTCGTCRAAAGAGGAATACGTACGTTGTTGTTCACCGGAATGAACACAGACCAGTGCGTGCTTTCGACTTTGATTGATGCGCAGGCACGAGGCTTCGATCCCATCTTGCTGCGAGACGGATGCAACACAAGTAATCCAGGCAATCCTCATCGGAATGTTGAATTCAACTGTTGCCATGCATTTGGCTTCCTGTCCTCGTGCAAAGCTTTCTCCCGGGCGGTATTACATGATAACTCAWGATAGCTTGTTATAACAGATCCAGCGAAACCTTGCGATTCTAAGTAGGAAGAAAGTTCATGGTCYTAAGAAACATTAGCAATGCTTGCTTTCAAGGCTAATGTAGAATACACTTTAGGATACGTCGTAGTAGAAGTCGAAGTATATTAAGGCTATTAGCTACATTCGACCGATAGATCCAAGGCAAGGATAGTATATAGGCATACGCGGATCTAAAGAAGAGATTGTCACTTCTATAAGCTTAAGGCGAGAGTGAACTTGACAACCTAATTAGACTCATCCACATTCTAGAACATTAGTAACGGCTAGTCTGACTACCATCCCGAGGGCGTCAATAGCATATGCATCAAGCAGCAGTTGATCTATTTCGGAGGAATGATCCTTCCACGACACTCCCCGAACCCCAACACAGCTTTACCATCCCCATCCTCACACCACCCCTCGAGAACAATCTCGTCCCCATCTTCCAAGTATCCCGCTTGGTAAACTCCCCCGCCACCTTGAGGAAGAACAGCAGTCTGCGTCCGTTCCGCCTCATAAAGACATCCCAACTCATTCATCGCTCCATTCTCATYCTTCCCACTCCCAGAAATCGTGCCCGTCCCAATCAAATCTCCAGTCTCCATACCACACCCACTCGCTGCGTGGWGCGTCAATTGTTGATATGGAGTCCAATACAAATATTTGAGATTACTAGTTGCCAACACGCTCTCCACACCATTCCTAACAAGTTTGACACGTAGCTTAATGTCCAGTGCCGCACTCCCTTTTTCAGGCCAAGTCAGATGATCAAAAGGTTTGGGATCCTGTACTAAATGAGTTTCACAACCAAAAGTCCCCAGAGCCTCAATCGGCACAATCCAATTACTGATCGTCGTCCCGAAACCTTTACTATGAAAAGGACCCAAAGGACGCATTTCAAACATCTGGTGGTCACGAGCACTCCAATCGTTTAGCATTACGAATCCGAAGATGTGCTCTTTCGCGTTTTCGATCGACATTGTGTCGCCGTAGGGGATTGGTTTGGAGAGGAAGAAGCCCATTTCCAATTCGAAATCTAGTTTACGGCTGGGTCCGTAAATGGGTTCGGAATCCATACCGGAGCTCCAGGCTACGTTTTTGGGACGGTGGATTGTACTTGGGGTTGGGAGGACGGATGAGACGCGGGAGTTGTAGACTGAGGGGGCGTGGAACCAGTTTTTGGGGATGTTGGCTGATGTTAGAGCTCCGGAGCTGTGTATTGAGAGTCAGGTCGTCGGAATCTTCAGTGATCTGAAAGCGATACGGACCAATTCTTGCAATGATCGAGCGAGGTGTAGAAGTCTGAGAAACCGCTCATGGTCATTGGGAGGTGTGGCAATACATCACTGAGTAGTGTCAAACAGGATTCCTCGATCTTGCCGTCTTTCAGATCGGCTTGGATTTGGTGGCGGACGTCCTTTCTTGTCGACCATGGGAGAGCAGCAAATGCAYTCAAAGATGGCTGGAAGATCATCATGAGCTATTGACTGCTTCGGAATGTGGTGAACAAGACGTACCTGATCGAAGATCCGCTCAAAATCGACATCGGAGACGATACTACCAAGTCTCCCCTGCTTCGCGTACTTCACCAGGTCAATCGCGTGCTTGCCAATGGCAACAGCACAGCGTGGTGATGGCTCCTCATTTGTGGAGATGATTCCATAGGGTAGATTCTGGAGGGTGAAAGGCAGCTGATCGAGGGCAGGGACTGTCATTTTTGGATGTTAAATCGTCGTGGAACCTGCAAAGAATGAACAACTGTAAGTGGAACATAATCTGGACGGGGTATTGTATAGTTGAGGTGCGGTGAGAGAACCACACTAGCCCGAAAACCGCCCGTTTGATGCTTGTCCAATGGGATGATTTCATACTGCCAGCATATAAACTCAAATGTCTTCTGCTCGATGACTTGTTTACGTTTCTTTATTTTGGGGATACGGAATATGAAACTGGGGGCAAGATGTACAAGCTCTCATGTTTGCGATCGCAATTTCAGCAGGAGATAAGGATGACTTTTGATTTGCCTTTGCACCGTCTCAGCTTGTGATGCCTGAAGCATGAGAGCCTACCCGATGCATGGCGAACGCTTCTAAAGACGGCAGAGAATTCGATACTGTTCGTTCATTCTGTCGGCTCGTGAGGAGCTAGAAGCCTTCAAAGCTGTTCATGGCATGTCAGATACTCCACTTTCGTCTCATTCCAAGTCTTTGCTGAATAAAGGTTTGTAGTCTCAGGTCCCTCCAACAGTGCTCCGAGCAAGGTATGTCTAAATGCCCGCTCAATACTCAAGGTCGCTCCACTCTGTCATGAACACAAGTGTCCAGTTCTCCCAAAATGTAGTGGCGGTCTGTGACTTGTGTAATAGGGCCCGGAGGTCGTTGGCTGCTCCCAATTTGGCCAGCTCCCAGTTGATTGTTGCAGACCAGTTCAAAACATCAAGCTCCTTTCTGTTTCTTCTCACGAAGCTTTTTGAGTTCCTTCAGAGCGGACATGATGAGTGGCACAGCCATTGGACCGAGGAGTGGCACATAGACCGCCACCTTGTGCTCTTCAGGAAAGTAAACCTGTCCGACCATAGAAGGCTCAAAGAACGCCTTCTCAACCTCAGCTTCGGCAACACGAGCGTGCTCAAGAGCACTTTGGAACTTTCCTTCCTGCAAAGCACCGCAGGCTTTCTCCAGTCGGTGCAAAGTCTCATCCACGGATTTCGCCACTGAATCTGGGATTGCGATGGAGGTGAGCTTCAAGCTGAGACGAGACAATGCGCCTAAAGTGGATGAAGCTGATAGAACTAGAGTTGTTGCTCGCTCTCGAAACAGACTTGCAATTCGAAGTGAAAGTGAGGCTGGTGTTGGAGGCACACCCAAAAGTGCCGCCAGTTGGTCCGCAAATGTGTGCATAACCGGTCGTAGGTCCTCTTCCGTCAAACCACTAGTGCTGTCTCCCATAGGATTGAGAATCTGCACGCCACCCCATTGAGGGATGATCCAGCTCGTACCCTCATTCTCCTCAATCACGAGAGGTCTCTGATCCGGAGAAGGGACGTAGAGCACGAAATTGATCGTCGGTCCAGATCCAATTCCCGGACTCAAAGGCCACTCCGCTGCGTTGACGAATCCTGTGAGATCCCCATAGTGAAGCGTCCATTTATTCTGCTCTGCCTTGAAGACTGGGCCCGCGATAGATGGGCTGAAAGCCGCATAGAGCTGCACTTGAGTGTCGATGGTGAAGCTGCTGATTGAAGATAGTGGTGCTAGTAGAGGGGAGATGTATCTCTCCAAGGCTTCGTCAATCTCCCACGCAGAAGGGGAAGCTGCAGGCGTGAAGAGGGAGAATGTGAGATGATACGATGAGGCATACTTGAAAGCTCGAGTAGTTCGTCCGTCCAGACTGGCAATTCTCTCCGGACTGAGGGGATTTGACTCAATGCCTTGCGAGAATGCGCTATCCTTCAATAGGCGAAATAGTGAGGCCCTCTCATCCTCGAAAAGCTTGATCATCTCGGTTGCAATGAAAAGTGCCGCGCTTTTCGTTTCTTCGGGCGTTCGGAGACCATGTTGAACATCCAGGATTGATCCCCACGGTCTCAATGTTGCTTTTGAATCCTGGATGTCTGATGTTTCCAGCTGTACGACCAATGCGCTGTCTGACACATTTGCACCGCCCGCGGATAAGATGTATCTGTGCAGCGGGAGTGTTTGCCAATTATTGAGCACCGATTCTGTCTGTCTGGTCAAATCCTCAAGCTGATCTCTGGGCAAATCTGTGCTTTGCAAGGAAATGTGTAAAGGATATTGTAGTTGGCAGGCCTGTAACTCATTAGTACTCCAATAACGCCACGTAGAATATACAACAACAGACCTGTCCCTCCGCCCACGAACTCATAGCCTCCAATGGCAATGTTGACCGATGTAGTGAGGTGGTCCATGTCCAATGCGGCAAACCCAAGAACAGGGCGACGGCCCAAAATGCCGCTATTATGACGCGTCGGGTCCATACCGCGGCCGGCCGCTCTGGTGGAGCCTCCTTCGACTCAGGCGATGTTTTGATCGCGCTGCTGGACCCGGACTCCATCATGAATCCGCTCTCATCATGTTGATGGAAGTTGATTGATGCGGTGGACGTGTCAAGTAAAGTAGGGATGTCGGGCGCTAGTCTCAATTTGTATTGATAACGGAAGCGATAATGATTGTTACCGTCAATCTCGAAAAGCAAGACAGACCTCAGCTCATCCCGCCGCCCTCCCTTTCTTCATTCACTGCGTGCTTGCCTTCCATCTCAATCATCGCAAGATCTGCGACAGAAGGAACATGCGACTAGTCGAATCTGCGAGCGACTGACATCTGCCTTTGTTCCTGCAACCACAACAACCTTCCGCGTAAGTCGACCAGCACACACCACTTCTACCACATAGAAAGCCATCAGGAGCCATCAGGAGCCATCAGAAGCTTCTTCCCATGCACATGTTCATTATATTCACTCAACGCGAATGCGGGGAGCTTTAGTGGCCCCAATCTGCTCCAGCTCTTCACCATAAAACTCCAGCTCCTTCCTTCATTCTTCCTTCCATCAGACATCCACTTCCACATCCACTTCCCCTCCACAACAACACACCAACCACGCCCGCCACCACATCCACCATTCAACCCTTCAACATGTCTTCCAACACGGAGCCTGAGACCGTGAAGTACACCCCGTTCCAGCCGGACTTCAACTTGGAAAAGCGCATCGCACTTCTGAAGCTTGTTCTCCGCCCAGACCCCGTCGCAGAAGCTGCTGCTGCTGCAGCGCTTCTCCGACCCGCAACTCCACCCCCAGAGTCCGACTCCGACTCCGACGACGATGATTGGGAAGAGCCAACAACGCCACGCGGTATGGCGCGAAGAGCCGCCAGGGACCGCTATCTAGATGCTCTTTACGATCACAGCAACCGCAACGAGGAGGCGACTCGTGCGAAGCAGCTTGCTCGTGCTAACGCGCCGAACAAGAATTTCAACAGACCAACCCCGATGGCATCTTTCACAGGCCAAGACATTGCTTTCGACAGCCGCAAGGGCCAACCGGCACCATTTGGGATCAACTTTGTCCCTTTCGTCGCTCTTACGAAGTGGTGTTACACGTTCGCTCCGAAGGAACTGCTACAACCACTTGCATCTGTGTTTTTTGACGCAGATAAGATTTACGCTCGTGATTGGGACCTGTAAGTTATTTATTTTCTTCGCAAATTCTTCTTCTCTGACACAAACATTTTCTAGCTACTACGTCGCTTCGRACTACTGTGGAGTCATCACGTTTGTACCGGAACACCAACTTCAAGTCCTCTTCGACGAAATCAACGAGGCATTTCCAGAAGCAAAAGTCAAGATCACCGACAAGGATTATCAAGGCGGCTTTGTCATTGACTTTGAAGACCTTCGTCAAGACCTTCGGCCACGCTGGTTGTGCTGCTGCGAATCTCGAGCGCACTATCGATCTTGGATCGACAGGCTTTCGATGGAGACGCACATGAAGCTGCCTTCGGGCTCACCAAAAGATCGCAGCGTCGAGGCCTTCAAGGCCAAAGTTGACGCAGCGAACGCGATCAGCAAGGCCAAGAAGAAGAATGGAAAGGTGCAGACTTTCCAGCACGCCATCGTCCAGCGACAGGACATGGTTCGACATGGTTTTCGGGCTCAGCGGTACTTGGGGCTGCTCCCAAAGAGCGAGCCATCGCTGATGCCAGACATTTCTACCTTGACCATCAGCGAGGCTATTGATGTCACCCAACCAGCGCCACATGCTTTCGACATGGACGCCATTTTCATCGCCATCGACCTCGAGGCATACGAGAGCCCACCTCGAATGGTGACTGAGATTGGCATTGCCACTCTTGACACTCGTGATTTGAAGGGCGTCGCTCCTGGTGAAGTTGGAAAAGAATGGCACAAGTCCATCCGCGGTCGGCACATCCGCGTTGACGAGTAAGTTGAGGTCTGGAATCAAAGTGAGTAACATCTGCTAACACATGACTTTCACAGGTACAAGTATCTTATGAACCATCAATACATCCAAGGCTGCCCAGCAGCATTTGAATTCGGGGACAGCGAATTTGTCCCGAAAGACCGACTCGGCTCCGTCCTGGCAAGCTGCTTCAAGCAGCCCTTCAATCAGAAGGACGTCATCGACGTACCTACAGAGGAGAGAAACATCGTCCTCGTTGGTCACGATCTGGGTCAAGACATTAACTACTGTCATCAGCTCGGGTTCTCCGTTCTGAACCGCGCCAGCATCAAGGAGTCAGTCGACACAGTCGGCATGTATCGGGCCTACTCCAAAGATCCGAATGCCCGCTCTTTGGGAAGCATTCTCTACGACTTCGACCTCACTGGGTGGAACCTTCACAACGCCGGCAATGATGCCGTCTACACGATCCAGGCCATGCTCGCCAYTTGCGTCAAGTCTGCCGCAACCCGCGGCGAGAAGGATGTGGTGGAGAAGAAGTTGGAGGAGAAGACTGAGACTTTGGTCGAGGCCGCCAAGGAGAAGGCCAAGGAGGATTGTACGGGTTGGGATGAGGATGACGATGGTGGTGACCCGTTGCAGCCCACAGAGGCTACTTTCAATCCTGCTGGAGGACGTGGAGGTCGTGGTGGTAGAGGTGGTCGTGGAGGTGGAGATCAGGCCCGTGGAGGTGGCGGTGGACCCTTCTACACGACGGGAGGCGCTGTTCTGGACGTCTAGCGTCGTCTAGAAGCGGGAGAGCTCATCGAAAAGCTGAAATCATGGCTTTGTTGAAGAGGCGAATGTACGAGATGCGTAGATTCCTTCCAAGCTTTGCGCCGGGATATGTATACTTTACAAATCAGTGGCTTTGCAGAATTCATGTCTTTCGTAATCATTCTATTTGTGCAGTGCGCAAACAATATCTATCTCTATCCTCGGCYCCCATATTTCCCAACCGACGCTCGTTGGCCGTGGATTATTCGCCCACCACTCCCAGCTCTTGGAAATTCTACATACAGTTCTATTCTTCATCGCCGTCAAAAAAGCGCATCACAGCCAATGTGACTACAGGATTACCCATGACAACATCATGCAAGCCAAATTTCAAAATCTCCTCTCTAATCACACCATTTCGACTCCGCATCACAGCCACACTCCCACCAGCTCCCCGATCAATTCTCTCAAGTCCCTCGACTACACTTGTCGATTTCGTAGAATTTWCAGCGTGCTCAAACAGAACAGAAGTATGTCTCCAAGGAATATCGTAATCGTCTTGAGCATGGATGATTGTGACACGATACTTGGCTCCTTTTGCCTCATTCAAACGCACGTATTCAGCGATGCGATCTTTCGTGGACCAAGTATCGCGAATGTAGCACTTGAGAGCATCGAAGACGGCGGGGAATCTCACCACGGGAGCGAGGATGGGGATCGTGCCGGCGATACTGTATGTAGAGACCAAAGTCGGGACATCTATAAATGGTGCGACGAGGATGTGCCCTGCGAATAGTATGTTTTGTCGAGCATAGTGTTCTGCCACGGCCATGTTGACTGCTGTTCCGAGCGATTGGCCGAAGATTGCAATTCGATGAGGGGGGATTTTCGCGACGTGGAGAGCCCATTCTACAATTGCTATTGCGTCTGCTATAAGACCTTGTTCCGAGGGGGAGCCGGGAGATTTGCCAAAACCTCTATAGTCGAAGGATAGAACGTGGAGGGGTGCTTTTGCGGAGGAAGCTGCGGTTAGAGCTCGATAGTTTGGTRTGCGGAAACCCGAAGCTACGGTTCCTCCTGCTCCGTGCATGTGGATTACGAGGCGAGCTGTAGGATCATGTCGGAGGAGTTGGAAGGCTTTTCGTGATGAGATATCCGGTGCCAAACCCGCCTTTTCGGACGAGAGCTCCGTTTCGTGCTTGTGGTATAAATCCACGGGAAGGATGTGCCAGGCGTAGAGATTCTGGCCGCTGCTTGGGGAGGGTATGAGGAAGGGCGTCACTTGATTGTGGAGGAATCCGAAGAGTTCGGGGGTGGAAAGGTCTTTGAACCATGTCATCTGCACTGCATGCAGATAGACGATGTGAGCTTGGAAGGACTGCGTTGTGAGGGCTGCCAGAAGGCAGAGATAGAGAGTGCATGCCGAGCCGGCTGTAAGCGATGCATATTTGAGAAGTCGTGTGAGCATGCTGGTTTGGAATACATTTACGCATATACCACAAATGAAGCTCTATACATGGAAGGAAAGAAGGTGTGCCTCGTTCAATGTGATGGAAAGAGAGTTTGGCGCCAGACAGGGGAATGCCGCCGAAGATAGTCCGGGCGCTAAGGTCGTTCCAAGTTCTAGTTTGAAATTTGAATCGACATCAACTTCTGTTCAGACACCATGAGACATTGGCGGGCGCTTCAAGACACACGGCGTGCATGAAGCACTACGCGTACCCTATTATAGACAAGAAGACCTGACTTGGATTGCAGTGGAGACCACTACCACCGACATGTATTTACTAAACAGTTGCCCTCGAAAAAAGGCAAGACCCCCAGAAAGATGAACAATACCTACATGACGAACGGCACTCCAACACCCAATGCAGACTCCAGCAGTCACCTCGTAGGCTGGACACCTGAATCAGGTGGTCGAGGCACCCTCAAACTCATCTCAACATGTCTTTTCACCATCTTCTTTTGCACGTGGGTCGTCATACATCCTCGAATTCACTCCCGTCAAATCTTTCACATTCCTCATAAAATGGCCCTTTGCCTCAAGACCGTCATCGCCCCCGAGCTGATCGCCGTGGAGGGTGCCCAGGAATGGATCCAGGCCCGTCGCGTTGTCACAAACTGCGCGAGTTCCACCGGCGGAGGCCTCACGTCCGTCCAAGCCTACTATGTGGGCATGCTGGGTCTACGCTATCGAACCCCAGATGGAGCGAAAGTCCTCTGGCCGAACCAGTTGGAATGGCTTCTCCATGAAGRTCTACTCGATTGGGAACAGCAGCATGAAGCTTGGGGATTGAACTTGGAAGATATCCAAGATCGCAGCAACGCCGATGGCACCGTGAAGCTCTTTGCTCTGGTACAGGTGGCCTGGTTCGTTGCGCAATCCATCATGAGAGCGGTGCACCACCTACCGCTTGCTCCACTAGAGTCCATGACATTGAGCTACATTCCTCTCTTTGCCCTGACCTACTTTTTCTGGTGGCTCAAACCCAAAGATATTGTCAAAGCCACCGTCGTCAATCTTCCATCAATGAGCCCACCTCAACTTGAAGAATTCCAAGCAATGAGCATCAGCGACGACTTTGACGAAGCGCAACAGCAATCATTCTGGTCAATCTGGTCTCTCACGCCCCGGATATTCGAATTCGAAGACCGCAACAACAATGAGCAGCACAACATGTCGAAGAATGACATCATCAGCGAAGACGAAGAGTGCGACGGAAAAGACGTAGAAATAGAAACAGGAAAAGCCAAAGGAAAAGAAAAAGTCCTCGCCCACTGGGACCCCACAATCTACCACTCCCCAATCCTCTGGCCACTAACCTGCCTCTTCGGAATCTCCTTCCCAGCCCTGCACCTCCTCTCCTGGAACACGACTTTCCCGACCCTCATAGAATCCCACCTCTGGCGCATAGCCGCCATCGCCAGCATCCTCTCCATGCTAATCTTTATGCAATTCGAAAAAATCTCCATTTCCAATTGGCGTCGAAATCCTGGTTTGGCGGTGCTGCAGATTTTGGCGCCGGGAGTGTATATGCTTTGTAGAGTGGTCATGCTTGTGGGTGCTGTGGTGGCGTTGAGGGCGGCGGATCGGGGGATTTATGAGACTTGTGGGGTGGAGATGTATTGGTTGCATCTGGTTTGAACCAGAAGAAGAATAAGAAGAACAAGAAGAAGCGGCTTTCATCGACGTGTAAACAGACCCTCCAGTACAAGTCCAACAAACCTGATTGGGTAGAACGAACAAGCCTGCATTCAATTCCTACAGTATCGACAAATCGACATCTCATCATCATCCAGAGAGAAGTAAACGCCACGCTAGACCTCCCAAAAGCCCATTCATTCTTCATGACTTCCACTCTCATCACCACCGATGCTCATCACAATTTAACACCCCAAACGCCCCTCCCAGCACAAACACCCAACCAATCCCCTCCTTCTCTGGTCAATTCGCCCTGCGGAGCCCAACTGACATTGGCGACTTCATATTCACATCTCCAACTGGCAAAAGGTCCCTTGCCACCATCTCCCGCTTGTGCTCCCGCGGGAGGAGGATTTTGATTCAGGAGATCCCAGACGAGGACGAGACTGTCATCTCCTCCACTCGCGAGCATGCCTCTTCGGCTGGGATTCCATTCAATGGAGTTGAGGTTTCCTTGGTGGCCGGAGAGTTCCAATAATGCGGTGCCGGGTTGTCGGACGTCGAGAATACGGATGATGTTGGAGTCCATGGCGAAGGTAGCGAGTAAGTGAGCGTCGTGTGGGGAAGCTGCTAGGYGGAGGAGAGGTGGGGAGGGAGCGAGGGTTTGGGGTACACTCTTTGATGGGGAGGAGGAAGTTGGGGAGGCGGCTGGCGGATGGTCAGTGAGGAACATTTCCGATGATTGTGATGAGGACGTACATTTGTCGGACTTGTCCGCAGGCTCGTAAATAATGGTGGAGTGTTCCAAACTTCGAAGATCGAACATTCTCACACTACCATCGGCTCCACACGAAACGAAGACGTCGACGGATCCCGCGCAGAATCGCACATCGAAGACTTCTTTGTCGTGGGCGATGAGTTGTGTTTTGGCGGTGAGGGTGGGAATGTCCCAGATGGTGCACGTTGTGTCGATGGAGGAGGTTATGATGAGTTTCGGTGAGAGGGTATTCCAATCCAAGGAGGTGAGAGGAGCCGTGTGTTCGGGTGTTTTGCTGTTGGATAGAAGAGCCAGAGGCTGTAATTTTTGCGGCGCCGGTTCTCGTAGGTTTGCCGCGGCACTTCGATTGATGTTGCTTGTGATGTTGGATTGAGTGCCTTGCGGCAGACTCCACAATCGTAGATGATCACCGCTCGTGGCCAGGAGATCGGTGCTCTGCTTTTGGGAACTCGGAGGCTCCCACAAGATCCTCGTCACGGGATATGCGCACGTCGCCTCGGCCACCTTTGTATATTCCAAGCCATACGGTGTCTGTCCCGGACTGGTCACGTCTTGCGGAGTGATGTGTGTGTCCAAGATTTGAATGAAGTTGTGCGGATCTTCCAAATAACTTCCCACGGCCATCTTTCCCGCTCCACTGCCTCCCAAGACCGGCCATTTGCACCAATCGAAGKCGTATGTGGGGAATGGAGCGAGGTAATTTGAGTTGATGGGTTGGTCGGCGTAACTGAAAAAGGCCGTTCCCTGCGGTCCCTCACCCGCGTCGGAAATGGCTCTTGATCGAATGTCGGTGAGATTGAGAGGAGAGTGTGAGGGACCGGCGCCCACGGGCGTCTGAGCATTGGAAAGGTTGTAGGCTTTGGGGTTGGAGGTGGTGGGAGTTTGATTAAAGGGAATGTATTTCTGCGTGCCATCCATGCCGGAAGGACTGCTCAGCGAGTGTCCGTGTTGGTGAATGGTATTTTGGCGGGAAAGCGACGGTTGCTGCTGTTGTGCTTGGGCATAATGCTGTGCATTGGATGGCAGCGGGGGAGCCATCGAGGGGATCGTCGACGGCGCGGAATATCCCCCCGATGTTGCGGGACGCGCCGAGGAGGAATGGGAGGGAGGACCACCGGGCTGCAATGCGCCGGGAAGGGCGGTGGTGGAGGTGGGATTGGAGGGGATGGCGGAGCTGGCTTGTTGGATGTTGAACGTGGGCGGGGCCGAGGGAGTGGAATGGTGGTAGGATTGCTGCGGCGTGTAGGGATTCGACAGGTGCTCGTTGTGCGAATGCTGCCGTCGCGGCGATTGGGCGGGTAGATCGGCCATGGAGTTRCGATTCGAGGCGGATGAAGGGTGGAGGGTTGGCTGTGGTTGCGGTGGTGGGTCGGGATTCGAGGTCTCCGTGGAAGGCTTGCTTTGCTCCCTCTCTTTGCTCTGGTCGGTCAAATCGACGGACATGCGCTGGAGATTGGGACTGGCAAATGCTGCGAGCGCTCCTCCCGCCGACAAAAATGCGGACGAGGTGGAGCGGGAATGGGAGGTGGAGGATCCAAAGGGCATGGCTGCCCGATGATGGGATGGGATGTGGATCTACCTAGAATGTGGATGGTGGAATGCTTCCCGTCTACCCCGCCTCGTTTTCCTTCCACAGTTCGACAATTCAATCCTCTCTTCAACCTTCCGTGTTGTCGAGGTGGAATTGACCCAAGAGCTGAGACCTTTGTCACCCCGAGAAGCGTTTCAATATGAAACACGCCAATTGGAGGACACGAATAGCACCATGGCTGCCCGAAACACGCTCGTGCTGCGTTAAACTATTCTAGCCTTGACGTCCCCACCCCACCTCACAAGACATCCATACCCCTCCATCACCTACAACATTGTATGGAAGATGGACGTCCAGAGACGGAGAGGGTAGAATGCCCTAAAAACCATGGAAGTAGAGGATAATACAACCTGCATGTCCCTTCCAACAATCTAGACTCGCCTCGACTCCCGCACCTCGGCAGATGTAAGGTAGCTCCATCTTGACATCCTTCCCGACACCTGATCCCTGCAGACCATCCACCTCACCTCCAACAACAACAACTTCAAGAAAATGTCGCTCGAAAGAAGCGACTCGGGTCAACCCCCCCGCTTCCTCCTCCTCCTGCCGCCCGCCCCTTCCAATCCCACCCACGCCTCGCTCAAATCCGCCTACAGCAGCACCATTATCCAAGTGCTCCAAGAAGTCGCCCTCCACTCGCCCGAATGTGCCTCGCAAGCCGCAGTCCTGGAAATTGGCCTGGCATGTCCCCACCTCGTCGGTCATCATCAAAAGTCCCGAGCGAGTCTCTATCATCAAACACAATCTCTGCTGGCGGGAATCTACAAACTCATCACCGTTGTGGCCGCGCAGGAAGGGATTAATGTCGAGGATGCGGATGGCGTGGATGTGAGGGTCATCTTGGTCGCGTGGGATGGAGAGCATGAGGATGAGGTGGTGGTGGGGAGGACGCCGTATGGACCCGTCATTGATCTCCCCACCCTGGCCAAGAGCGGGCGACAATGGCAGTTCGCGTTTGGGGTGGAGACGGATGAAGGAGAGAAATTCCTTCGAGCCTTCGTTACTGCCAAGTCCAGCACAGAAGAAGCCTCTTCTTCATCAAATCCACCCTCCACATCACCTCCATCATCATCGTCATCAGACAATGCTACGCGCCGCCACAACATAGCAGTGGGAGGGACATGGGACCACCTGCACGCCGGCCACAAACTCCTCCTAACCATGACCCTCTTCCTTCTCGACCCTCGCATCGCCTCCAAACCCTTCACCGCCACCATCGGCATCACAGGCGACGCCCTCCTGACCGCGAAAAAACACGCCCACCTCCTACAATCCTGGACCGAGCGCCAGAAATCCTGCGCCACCTTTACGAATTCCATCGTCGATTTCTCCACCACCGCCAGTTCTCAGGGAAGTCGCCAGGTCAGCATTCGAGATGATGCGGGGCCGAATGGGAAGGGGGTGGATATTACGTATCCGAATGGCTTGGTGGTGAAGTTTACGGAGATTCAGGACCCTTTTGGTCCGACCATCACCGAGCAGGAAATCGAAGGATTGGTCGTGAGTGGCGAGACGAGGAGTGGTGGGAAAGCGGTGAATGATAAACGGAAGGAGTTGGGGTGGAAGGAACTGGATGTTTATGAAGTGGATGTGTTGGACGCGGGGGAGGAGGGAGAAGGGAGTGTCAAGGAGGGTTTTGAGAGTAAATTGAGTAGTTCGGCCATTCGGGAGAAGTTGGCGGGCAAGGACCGGGGGAAGATGTGATGACTCTCTAGAGGGGAGACTTGGGGAAAGGAGAGTGTGGGAAGATTTATGGAGTGTTAATGTATGCTGTATGCTGCATGCTGTATGAGATATGAGATATGTATGAGAATACGAAGCTTTGGGGTTTGGCTTTGACCTTTGTCTGATTGCTGTCGCCCGAACTTGTGAGATATCTATCCGCCGGAAGATGCTCGAGCGGTTGGGGATCAATGTCGAGTTAGCCCACGGCATCACGTGAGCGTGATGTCTGGAAGAAGAATAGCGCGTGGCGCTTGCGGCCGAGGCCGCCAATTGAACAGGCGCCTCCTCCGCATCACAGCGCACACACTGTCAGTCGGGACATGCTGCCACAGCTGCCATGTTAATAACTACTGCGCGATCTGCCGCAGATACGGCCAGCTTGCCGACTCCTATACAAATGCCGTCGCTACGAGCTATCGGGAGATGAATCTGGACCGTTCATCGCCAGAGATTCACCTCGGGACCTCCTGCTGCACCATGCACGGCCCTCGCCTCAAGAAAGAAGGATCCTTCGCCAATGTGGGTGGCCCCGCTTTCCTACATGTAGTGGTCTGTATGCGCAGCTGAAGCGGCTTCTAAGCCTTAGCCTTGCGTCCCCGATAACCAGCTTTGTAGCCCTCATGTCCACGTTCTTTTCATTGCTGTATCGAGTCATTTTGAAATGCTCGAGACAGCCTACTTCTCCTGACTTGAGAGCGCTGCGAGATGGAAAATATGGCCAAGAAGACCCTTGATGGCCCTCAGCAATACACAGTCGCTTGGCTCGCTGCTTTACCTTCAGAGCGTACCGCTGCTGAGATACTCCTTGACGAGAAGCACGAAAAGCCCGCAGGATTCACTAAACATGTAGCTGATACCAACTCTTATACGTGGGGCCGTATGGGGAAGCATAACATCGTGATTGCTTCCCTGCCTTCTGGAGAGTATGGGGAAATAGCCACTGCAGACATGACTGGCGGGCTTCGAGCCTCCCTTCCCCATATTCGTGTCGGCTTGCTTGTTGGTATAGCTGCGGGAGTTACAGGAGAGCGAGAAGAGTCAGAGGGGAAGTTCTCGATAGATCGCGACATTCGTCTAGGAGATATTGCTGTGAGCAATCCGGACAAGGCCAATGGCGGAATCGTGCAGTACGATCTTTACAAAGCCAAGGTTCGCAAGGTGCAGAATCCAGACGGAAGTGTCAGAGATGAAAGCTACATGGAAGCGAAAGGGTTCGTGAATGCACCGCCAAGAGCGTTGCGTAGCGCTCTTTCCGCCTTGCAGGCGAAACATGAGTATGACGAGCCCCGGGTCGCGCATCACCTTGAGAAGTTCAAGCGCAACAAGAAGACCAGGACCTTCACGTATCCGGGGGCCATGAATACAGAAGATGGAAGTGACGTGGACGAATCAGACGAGGGAGATTCAGATGACGAGGATCCGCTGCGTGTAGCCATCAGCGAGAAACGTGCTACCCTCCGATCTGGAGCTAAGCACAAGAAGCTCAAACGGAGGACCGAGCCTGCTATCCATTACGGCACAATCGCTTCGGGGAACACGTTAATGAAGGACAAAGCGAAGCGGAACGACCTTTTGTCTTCCTTGAAGGCGAACAACTTCGAGCCTATCTGCTTCGAAATGGAAGCTGCTGGAATCATGAGCTCTTTTCCATCTCTAGTTATCAGAGGCATATGTGACTACGGAGACGAACGGAAGAACGACGCATGGCAAAAATATGCAGCTGCTACTGCAGCGGCTTTTGCAAAGGAGTTTCTGGAGTGTCTCGACGCCGAAGAGGTCGAGCAGGAGGAACCGATTTCCCGTGTTGAGAAGTTAGTAGAGCAGCGTAAGTAGCCATAAAACCCGTCACYAATGCGCGTTCTGATGTTTCGCGGTCAACGTCAAAGTGGAGAAGCACGTTGCAGACTATCGACATCAGCAGATGGACAAATGGCTCTCTCCTCCAGACCCGTCGACAAATTTCAACAAAGCCAAGGAATTAAGACACCCCAAGACTGGACGCTGGTTCCTTGAAAGTGAACAATACGAGGACTGGCGAACGAACGTACACTCGTCACTCTGGCTGCATGGTCTCGCTGGGTGTGGCAAGACGGTCCTCAGCTCCACTATCATTGCAGATGTACAGGAGAGAAGCGATGAGACTGWCCTCTTCTTCTTCTTCGACTTCAACAATTCCGACAAGCAGTCTTTTGAGAAGATGCTGCGCTCACTCATCTCGCAGATCTACCTTCAGTGCGAGGGCTCCCGGAAGCACTTGGATCATCTCTATCTGACCTGCGCAGGCGGAGGCAAGCAACCCGAGACGGGACTGCTGATCATGACTTTACAGTCCATGATCAACGAATCGGAGACCCTTTATATTGTGCTGGATGCCCTGGATGAATGTAAAACAAGACACGAGTTGCTTGATTGGCTCGAAGGTCTTCCCCGAGACAATGTACACCTGATTCTCACCAGCCGCAAAGAATACGACATCGAGACCTCTCTCGCCGAATGGATGCCCACTGCAGCTACCATTCCTATCCAGAACAAGCCAGTTGACGAAGATATTCGCGCTGTCATTCAGAGCAGACTCGCCGAAGATAAGGAGTTACGGCGATGGCAATCCTCGAAGCAGGTCCGCGAAGAGATCGAGACGAAACTAATGGAAAAGGCCGATGGGATGTACGTTTCGAATTCACTTTTTCTTCCCGGACCACGCTGACCTGGTATAGGTTCCGCTGGGCGGTATGCCAGCTGGATGCGCTCCGGACTTGTCTTGACCTTCCCACCCTCAAGGTTGCACTCGCATCTCTTCCAAAAGATCTGGATGAAGCTTATGCACGAATCTTGAAGAGCATTCGTCAAGAAGGCTATGAACGCAATGCAATCAGGCTACTTCAATTCCTCCTCTACACGGACCGGCCGCTACTGCTTGAGGAGGCCGTGGATGCAATCGCAGTATATCCCAATATCGATGACTGGAAGAATGGGTTCCAGGAGCAGAACCGCATGCCGAATCCTGACGAAATTGTCAGATACTGCTCTAGCTTGGTCCAACGCACATCAAGAGTCGTTGGGTATAAACGCCAAGATACAGAGGCTGCCAGTGTCGGCTATGAAGAGKGCCAATCTGTAAGTGAGCTACAGCTGGCCCATTTCTCGGTGAAAGAATATCTCGTGTCGGCGAGGCTCGAGGAGAGTTTCCAGACGTCTCTCGGTGAATGCTGCGCAAGAGCTGCGCTTGTCGAGGTAGGCCTATCCTACATGCTTGCAGCTTCAGGTATCCACCGCGTTGAGGAAGATTCATCTCGGGTATTACCACTGGCCAGATTATCAGCACAGTCTTGGATGGATCACGCCAGAAAGGTAGAGGCGCGCGACGAAACCGTGATGAATTGGATTTGTAAGCTGTTCACAACGCCAGCTGCATATCGCTATTGGCTCCAGCACTTCAACCCWGAGCGTCCCATGCAGCTAGCGAAGGACTGCACAGAGCAGCTTGGCGACATGTCWGTGCTCCCTATTCCGTTGTATTATGCATCTCTAGCTGGATTATCCAGATGTGTAAAGTGGCTGATAGATCAAGGGAGCGACGTCAATGCAAAGTGCAAAGCAGACAAGTACGGGCGCTGTACTTACGCGCTAATTGCTGCTTCATATGGAGGTCACGAGCAGGTAGTACAGCAACTACTTGACAAAGGTGCCAACGTCGATGCTGAAGGCTACTATTCCGGCTCCGCACTACGGATTGCTTCTTTTTCTGGCCATCTGGCGGTAGTGCAGCTTCTACTCGATAGACACGCCGACATCAACCATAGGACCCAAGGAGGGCATGAATCCGCATTATATGCTGCGTCTGAGCAGGGTCATGTAGGTGTAGTGCAGCTCTTACTAAACAATGGTGCCGATGTCAACCTCGACGGCGGACTCCATGGCTATCCGCTACATGCTGCTTGCGTACGGGCTCACGAAAGCGTCGTGCAACTACTTCTGAGAAGTGGGGCGAATGCGCATGCCAATAACAAGCGTGGTAACGTCCTCGCTTCCGCCTGTTTTGGCGGGTCCGCGAAGATCGTGCAGCTAGTGCTCAGTCGCGGGCTTGATGTCAACGCCGACAATGGAGCAGCACTAAAGGCTGCCTGTCAAAAACGTCAAGGGGGAGTGGCGCGAATACTGCTAGATGCAGGAGCAGACGCCACTGAGCAGGCTTTTGGCTTTGCTTCCCACCGTGGTCGGGAGAAGGTAGTGCAGATGCTACTAGATGCGGGGGCAAAAGTCACTGCTTCGATCCTCGAGAGTGCTGCCAGCAACGGCCACGAGAAGATAGTGCAGATACTGCTAAATGCGGGGGCGGAAGTCAGTGCAAAGGCCATTGAGAGCGCTTCTTGGCAGGGCCATGAGAAGGTAGTGCGACTACTGCTACATGCGGGAGCATACGTTACTGCGAGCGCCATTATCGCTGCTTCCACTCGTGGCCACGAGAAGACAGTACGAGTATTGCTAGATGCGGGAGCCGATGTCAATGCGAGAGACACATATGGTCAGACTGCTCTTCATTGGGCTTCGTACAAGAATGCCAAGGAAGTGATGCCCATGATTCTTAATGCAGGAACAGAGGTTGATGCCGAAGACAGCAAAGGGAGAAGCTCTCTTCTGTGTGCCTCCCGTATGGGCCATGCAGATATAGTGCAGATACTCCTAGATGCGGGAGCGGACGTCAACGCTCACACCGAAGATGGCAGTGCTCTTGATCACGCTAGCCAGGGAGGCCATGGAGATGTCGTGAAGATACTGCTGGCCGCGGGAGCGGACGTTCATGCGGGTGGTGGACACTGACTTTACTGCTCCCACACCTAGGAAAGGCTATGTCGAAGTGGCGCAAATACTACTGACTGGGGAGCGGACGTTGATCCGTGTACCAAATAAAGCCTGCACTGCCCTCGAGTGGGCTACCCTCACAGGTCACGACGAGATTGAGCAGATGCTTCCAGCTGCTGGAGCGGAAAACCTCTCATTCCATAATGGCTGTACGGTGGTGTCGACTTCCAAGACCAGTTTTCTCGAGCGTCGGCTAGTGAATGATATCTGAATGGACTACCTAGGATCATCTCTCACGTTCTAAAAGTTCCTTCTTTTTCACTCTGCTACATGCATTTCAACTCCTCCAACCCAGTTGAATGGAGACTTGATCTTAGCTCGGTGCTTCTGTGCAGTATAAATGAAGCAACCGGCATTTGCAGGAACTCTTGTCAACTGGACCTTTTGAAGAGACCGACTAACGCCACCGTTACACTCTCTAGCTTCCCGCTCGCACTCCATGCTTTGCTTCTTGAGGAGCTCGTCATCCCATTATTCGACGAATCTATCTGGAATTGCAGAGACCTCATTCGTGGATGGGAGTTGGATAAATCCAATAATGAGGATGATGAAGCCGACTATAGGCTACTGTTAGACATCGCTCGACATGCGTTCCATTCCAACGAGATGTTGTAAGTAGAAATTGAAGTAGTCAGAGGCATGCCGAAGGAGCTTGATACTTCCTGGGAAGATCACAAGCCAACACGCACGGGATCCCAGACTCAAACCTAAGTCTTGCAACAGGACTTCAGGCATGTGGATCTTCGAGCGGCATGGAGGTCTCTCGCATGCCATATGATGCTCTTGAACAGCTTACATCGACGGTCGCAGTCTATAGAGAATCGATTTCAGGAAGAGATCAATTTGGTAGGACTCTACAAGATGGACTCTTCGTTACTGTCAACAAATATCATCTCAGGCATTCCACATGAGCACACAACGGTTCCGCAAGACAGCCTCTAAGATCGCCGAATCTTCGCTGGCAGATAGCGCTGCGACAAAGACAATCAGTTCCTTGGGCATGCTTTTTCTTCTCGGAACTTTCATAGGCGTGAGTAGCTAAAGATGGCAGTCCTTCTTCCTGTTATTCTGCTGATAGCTCGGGGAATATTTTGGAATGAACTTCATTTCGCTTACTCCTCCGAATGGTGATCCTGGCTTATGGACAGTCTCGTCAAAGTTTTGGATATACTTGGCAACGACTGTACCTGTTACTTTGTAATAGTTTCAGTTTGGATGCTTTCTCAACCTAAAGCCATCAGAAAGAGCTGCCTCCTTCTCAGGCGCTCCTCCGAAATTTCGTGACTTCCGAGGTGTGATGTGACTTCCGAACCTTCCGAGCTTTAATTGGCAACCTTATACCCTTTACTCTGTCTATATAGTAGGTACGGTCTTTTATCTTTCTGCGGAGCGCCTAAGGAATAACCGCAGGATTCGGACAGAATCCTCTACTAGGCTAGCTATTAGGATATATATACATCCCTAACGCAACCCCTTTTTGCTTAAAGTAGGAATGCTTAGTTATAGAGTTTCGTACGGCTAATAAGACGTACTAATCAGATTTTGAATATATTAAGAACTACGGACAGCGTAAATTAGAAATATAGATATAGAAAACGACACTTTTAGGGTTAATAATGCTGCTAATAACCTAATTTACTATGCTAATAACAACTATCCTATACTAAATTAAACTGCTCGAGGTCCCTAACGTTAATATCCTCCGTCTATTACTACTACCTTCCTTTCTATCCGATGTTATAATATAGTAATCTAAGCCGGTATCGATTATTACTCTAAAAGGAGCCGAATCCGAGCAAAACTAGTACTACGCCCTAAAAGATAGTCGTACTAATACGCTAATAATACGCGCTATCTCGCGTTATAATTCTCCTATAGTCGTCGTTAGATATCGTTATAGCGAAAGCAAACGTAGAAGCTACTAGTACCGTCGAGTGCCGCTATCCGTACTTAGTAAAGTTTCTAGAGTAAATACCTCGTTTATACGTCCGTGCTCTTCTTTTATTATCTAAAGGCAAACACTAGCCTTAATACTAATACTAATACTAAGACTAACGCGCTAATCTAGGCGTATCCTGCTATATATTAACCGATATTATACGTCCCTCTACGGAAATTATAACATATAATAGCGCCTAAGAACCTAGGCTAGAGGTCGACTTAGTAGTCGACTAAATAGCGGCGATAGGCACTCGAGTAGAGAGCTATAGCGCTAAAGGCTACGCGCCTACCTAGCCGTCCTACCGTTACTCGTAAAGCTCCGAAGTAGAATATTCCCGTCGTCGAGTTACTAGCGTAAGATACGCCGACGACCGAATAGATCTAGCATTTTAAGGACCGCGTATCTAATATTAAGGAGATGTTAATCGAGCAGATCTAGATGCTCGTCTTTAATGCTTTAAAGAGCGTTTACTCCCTTAGTGTCTAAAAGAAGATTATCTAGGATAGAATAGAGGTTGTCTTAGACTACTTCTATCCTAATAAGGGCTTTAAGCCTACGGAGTTCTAAGTTAATACCTTATACGCCTCTATATTCGCTAAGAAGGATGTAATAGCGCTTATAGGAACTAGCGCTAGTAAGAGTATGCTATATTAGGCATACTACTTCCTTACTAGTAGAATTATTATCTAGGTATGTTATTCGTATCGCGCGCTACCGCCGCCCTACTAACTAAAGACAGGTTATCCTACTTAACCGTATCGGCGAAGAGCAGAAGGCAGATATTAAGCGATCTATACGTAACGCTAAATCGGAACTAATCTAGTATATGCTTATAACTAGTAATACTAAGAGGGCAGATCTAAAACTATACGAGAAGCTCTATACTAGGAAGTTTAGTATTATCGCGATCGGGCTAGAGTAGATAGCGACTAAGGAGTTCTAGGAGTTCCTTCGTAAGATGCGTAATAGTATCGGCATATTTACTATCGACGAGTGTTATTTAGTATATAAGTAGGGTGTCTGTTTTCGAAAGGAGTAAGTAGATTATCTATCTTTCTAGCCCTATATTATCCCTTCGGCCCTCCTTAATCTATCTTTACTAACCTCGATATAGGTACTCCTAAATCTTTATCTAGCGCGAGATCGTCCTTTAGGATACTATCTAGCTCGGAGCTTTAGCGACTACTTTAGCAGATACGCGAGAGTATACTCTAGCATAAGGTAGGTTCCGTTAAGTTAGCCCTAAGCCGTTTATAACCGAAATTATCTACGTAAGCATCGATCGTACCGATATCTCGTACATCCTAAAGCTAATCCCTAAGGATAAGCTAGGTTCGTATAATATGCTATATTAGTAGTTAGGTAATATAGTCGACGAGGATAATAAGCTAACGCTAGAGGAAATCGATAAGACACTAAATTTCGAGGATAGACGCGGACGTATCGAGATAATAGTTAWCTAGTTGCGGTCCTAACTCGTCGCTTTAACGAAGGATAATAGCGATAATAAGAAGTATTACTAGGGAGGAAACGAGAAGAGGCTCGATATATATAACGTTATATCGTCGTACGATAGCTATACTCTAGTATACGACTAGAACGTACGATACGAGGAGTTCTCTAAGCTAGACTTGCTTATCCGGATTATATATAGTACTCCGTCCCTCGTATATAGCTACAACGTTAGTAACATCCTAGTAGTCGTCGTCTAGAAGATGCCGATTACTAAGGATCTCGACGATGTAATATAGAAAGTAGGCCGCTATATACGTAAGGGCGGTATAACTATCTATAGCATCTTCGTTTAGTTCTATCCGTACTAGTTAGATAATATATATAGCTAAGTACTAGATAGATCTAATTACAACTCGATTATTCCCCGCGATAGATAAGAAGCGCGTACGCCGTATTAAACAGAATAGATTATAGCCTATAGCTACGCTCCGCTTCGTATAAGTAGCCTACGTAATACTACGATGCTAGGTAAGGACTTAGACGGTAACGAGACCTAGGCTAGCGACCGTAATAATAATAGGAACATAGCYACTATTACYGAGAAGAAGGACTAGACTAAGTAGGAAATAGAGTAGCGTAATAATATACCGAAGATTATCCGCCTTACTCTAACTAGTAGATATCTACTAGTTCCTCGGTGCTTCCGCGTTATAGTTAACGACTACTACGAGGAGCATCTAAAGATATACGATTCGGTTCTAGTTCGCTAGGACTAGTGCTATAGCTTCTATAATCTAGAACTCTACTCCCTTACTAAATAGGATGTATTGCTATATACCGTACCTAAGGCGAGGACTATACTAAGAGCTAGAAGTAAGTAGGCCTTCTTTATACCGAAGATTAAGGCTATCTTTACCGTCTTCTATTAGACTATCTTTACGTATAACGCGAATTACGACTTTACTAACTTACTAGCCGATTTGCCTTATAATCTAATCGTTCTAGAGGAATATGTTTAGGAGTTAAGCAACTATATCCGGTATAAGGCGCTAGAGGATCCTTAGCCGTAAGACGTCGAAGATCTTAGTAGAGATAGTCTATCGATCCCTATATCCCTCGAGGAGATAAAGGAAGTTGCCCTAGAGTTCTTTAAGTAGTACGCTAATAGCGGTACGCCTCGTAGAAACGACATCTCTCTTAAACTATTAGTAAAGGAGATTAACAAGATTACGCCTAAGGTGTACATCGAATATCGTGCTAGCCTAGACGAGAAGAAGCGTAAGAGAGAAGACGCTAAGAATAAGAAGGCCTAGGATACTATAATAGTAGTAGCAGCTATAGTAGTAACTAGATCGATTCTACCCGGTCTAGGACGAATAGCTACTTAGCGACGATCTAGCTTCTCCTAACGCGCTTCTAACTCCGCCTAAGAAGCTACCCTATTAACCTAGGCGATCTCTAGTAAGAATTAAGGCGACCTAGGTACCCGTAGCCGCGGTCGTAGTCGTCCTCGTAGGCGCCCTCGTAGTCGTAGTCGTAGTAGAGCCGAGAAGCGTGCTAT